ACATTGTTTTTTTTTTCTTTATCCCATCTAACTCAACGGTTTAAACATTTCCTCCCAAAAAAATTCAAACACTTTTTGTTTTGAAATTAAAAAATTGTTAAAAATTTTTGCCAGTTTTTAAAAGGGAGTGTTGTTGTTTTCCCCCCCCCCCCCCTTTTTTTAAGGCAAGCATGGCTGAGTTTGTGTTAACTAAGAGTTTGATTTCTGAATCGACCTTAAATTTAAGGTCCTGTCCTAAAACCTAATGACCGTTGGGAGAATCTTTTGCGGCTCTAGTTAATCAAAGATTTATCCACAAAACCTTGACGAAGTCCGCGTGGAAATGTTTTCATTTAAGGGCGTGTTAAAACGCCTATTTCCTCACAAGCACTGTCCTATACTGCAATATATGCTTTAATTCTAATTTGGCGGAATTGATTTCAGGACAGATTCCCATACAATTAATTTTACGGTGTGTTTGTCCCAGTTTAAAGTGGTGTTAGACAAGGGAAGTCAGAGTATTGAGAAACTAATTATGTCGGATCGGTAAATCGACAGTTGTAGTTTTACACCCTGCATGTTCAAACAAACAGTCCACTTCGTGATTAACTTGCTGAAAGTTATTTTACCACCTGGATTGTCCGATCCTCCGTGCTTTTCCTATTTAAGCCCAGCCTTGTTTGTTGTCACGACGGAAAGCAGCGAATCTTATTTGATTAAGAGCAAAAAAACGAGCTTTAATAAGGTTTTGAGCAATGTGTGTTTGCTTAAGTTGAATGGGAAGCTTCCTTTGTTCGCGTTTATTAAAACTGTCAAGTCGTGCAATATGTAATTTATCTGTAAGTAAACCTTTTCTTCGCGTTTTGTTATTCTCTAAGTTCAAACAACATTTATTGTTTCGTCGCTTTGTATTCAAAAGAAGCCTTCTCAGTAACCAAACTCGCAGTTGTTCTTCAAAGTAATTATCTAGAGCTTATTGTTCGCGGGTAAATCAAGACAGGACGCATTATACAAAGGAAGACTTAATTCGCGTGCGTTGGGCTGGACGCGGTGTTTACCAAACTTCGCAGGTTTTCTGTCAAAGAGAAATCACTTTGATCTATCTGTTTCTTTAAGTTTTGATTAGAACATACTTGTTTCAATATCGCAAAAGGAAGCGATAGATGTTATCGCTGATATGGGATTCACTCGTGAATCAGAAAAGCGAAGTGCGATTGTTCAGCTTGAACGAACGTGGTGGAAATTGCGAACAGAATCGAATGAAAACAGTATTTAGAGCTAACGAGGTGCTGAGAATGTGACAACTAGCGATCGGTCGAATGTTGCTGTCTGTCTCTCAAATGTGTCTCTAATGTTTATGTTAACACCTAATTAAACAGGCGCGAATCCCGTTAATTAAAAGGAAGAAGGAATTGATAAGATAGGGCGAAAGGCAATTTTTAACTGCGATAACAGTAATATTGGTTTATGAGAGAAGTATCGATTATTTTCTTTGTTATACCCGTTGCTTGAACTCTTACGATGGATTTGGGAAACGCAAATTTAAGAGCGCTTTATTGAAAGTTCAACTTAAATACTTATGAACTTTATATGCAACGTTTCGCACCCACTTCGCTTTTTCCTTTGGGTATTGTCCAAAGCTGTTACATTTTCGTAACTAATTATTTTTCAAAAAGAGTGAAGTCCTTCTGTTGTGACATTCCCTAGCTTTGTGCCGTTAAAACAAAACAAAAGAAACCCAGATAAAAAAAGCAGCATGTTGTATCATAAAAAAGAAGTAAATCAAAAGGTTTTTACAGTAAATAAGTAAAATTACGAATGTGTTGGGGGTGACTTGGATAATGCCCTAACGCGGGAAGATGTCATTAACCAGCATACGTTCAGAAGCGCCAAGGCTAAGTGTTTGTATTAAAAAGTGTGCTTCCCACATGGCTAATAAAAATAACAATGAGAAACAACATGGTTTTAGCACAATGCCATGTCCTCGCATATTGTAAGACATTGTTTACGCTTTTCTTCGGAGTAACGTGCATTGTCAAGTTCCCTTTTGTTGCATTCTCAGTTTAATCTTGGCTGTATTGCGTGAAATTTCCAATGTTTCGCACTGCAGATACTTGTAAAATCGACCCCGAACGTTAAAATATCGACATTGTTAGATGTGTCCATTGAGGCATGGTTTAATGGCAGTAATTTTTGCCCAAGAGTAGAAAACGAACGTAGGGAACGTTATGGCTAAGATTTCCCTGCGTTTACGGTTCAATCACCTACGCTGAACACAAAAAAATAAACGCCATGTTTGTGGTGACGGCTAGCGTATCGTCCAAAACAACACTAACTTTTTTAAAACTGATTTCTTAAGGAGAGAAATAAATCTCTGATTTTTGGTTGTCGGAATGACAACTTTTATTTGACGATTGATAAAAGTTTCAAACCAGTCTTTGTTAAATCATCGATGTTATTATATAGAAAGAACTTGTTTCAAAAAGGGACAATTCGTTGTTCATGAACAATTGTACAAGTATTAATGACATTACATTTATTTGTCAGTTTTGTGTGAAAAATTATTTGTTCGTTGGAAGTTTTTGCGTGAAGGGAATAAAAAAATCAAAACGAATTTTCACTTAAAACTTGTAACATTAGCGAAACGAACGAGGCAGAAACTTTTTGAAAGCAGATGAAAGTCTGCAAACTTTGAATAAATTCCAGTTATACACGTTTTCGTATAGACAATCTCGCCGTAGTGTGCTCTCATACAAGAAGGCTTAAATGCGGAGAAATTTACTTTTGACCGCGTTTAGTTTACGCAACTGAATAAACTTTCATTTTACAATTATCTGGGATGGCAGATTTGTTAAAATTGGCTAACTGAACCAGCGCTGAAATAAGGGGGAGAAAAACAGAGTATTTGGCAATTCCAACTTTCAAAATCAAACGTGAAAGAGCCAAGCCAAGCGCCGAGAGGATCTTAGTGCTACATCCGTTTAACTTTGAGGGACGTTTTCATCACTGCTTACTTAGNTTTTGGTTGTCGGAATGACAACTTTTATTTGACGATTGATAAAAGTTTCAAACCAGTCTTTGTTAAATCATCGATGTTATTATATAGAAAGAACTTGTTTCAAAAAGGGACAATTCGTTGTTCATGAACAATTGTACAAGTATTAATGAGATTACATTTATTTGTCAGTTTTGTGTGAAAAATTATTTGTTCGTTGGAAATTTTTGCGTGAAGGGAATAAAAAAATCAAAACGAATTTTCACTTAAAACTTGTAACATTAGCAAAACGAACGAGGCAGAAACTTTTTGAAAGCAGATGAAAGTCTCCAAACTTGGAATAAATTCCAGTTATACACGTTTTCGTATAGACAACCTCGCCGTAGTGTGCTCTCATACAAGAAGGCTTAAATGCGGAGAAATTTACTTTTGACCGCGTTTAGTTTACGCAACTGAGTAAACTTTCATTTTACAATTATCTGGAATGGCAGTTTTGTTAAAATTGGCTAACTGAACCAGCGCTGAAATAAGGGGGAGAAAAATAGAGTATTTGGCAATTCCAACTTTCAAAATCAAACGTGAAAGAGCCAAGCCAAGCGCCGAGAGGATCTTAGTGCTACATCCGTTTAACTTTGAGGGACGTTTTCATCACTGCTTACTTAGACTCTAAATAAACTACAGAAGAACAAAACAAATTAATTTTAAGACGCCACGCTTTTATTTCTCTTCATTTTATATTACACAGTTAGGAATTATATATCCTCGTCACAATACCCGTCTATTTCCGATATGTAATAATTTGTTACGTATTCGACAGAAAAAACAAAAATTCTTACAAAAAGTATCCATATATATTTATACTTGTAACTGTATTATCGTATAGAAGCGCAGCTAAGAACTATAATATATATATAAGCCGTCTCAATTCATCGTTATATTTTGATGGAGATATCAATTTTAGGATTCTCTTCAAAAGAGTTTGCCTCACTTTAAAGTGGCAAGCTCCATGCAGCACTATAAAATTTCTGCACTTTAGTTGGATATACATGTACAGTATCTCTGATTAATTTTCCTCTTACGAAAAAAAGTACAAAACTTAGCACAAATGAAAATAATAACGTTGTACATCGTTCTTGGAATGTCAAAATACAATGAAGCTTAACGAAATCGCCTTGTAGGGTGTATTGCAGAAGTACTGTAAAGGACAGAACGGAGAAAGACCTTTCATCATTTACACTATATTATAACGTACCGCGTCGACAAAAATCATGGTAAGAAAGGTAGCAGTTTTAAAGCAAGTCTCCCTGATTTAAAAAATCATTGTTTGTTGGTTTTGTTCGGCAATTCAAAGAAACTTGAGGAACGTTTTTGTCAGTTTTGATATAGTGGGCAGTTTCTTTTCGCGTTCAATTCTCGATTCATTTAGATTTGAAGGCGTCAATCTCTATGTACAGTGTTAGGTGGCTTTAGGATCCACAATCAACACAATTTATGTTAAAAAAAGCTCATTAATTTATAAAGAGAATATGGTGTAGAGTCAATTCAGTAAATTAATTTCAATTTACTAAAGTCCTTGGCCATGTGCCTCGAAACATGGGTAATCCCAAGCTCTTAGGTCACTGTGTGTCTATTTAAACAGTGAAACAAGTAGAGCAGCGAATTTCGCTCTCTGCTTACTTGTCGAAGCTGGCATGCGAATGGTTTGCTGAGGCATTAATTAAATAGCCTTGTTCTGCCATGCGTTTGGCATGTGGGTTAGTTCTTAAAATTTGCAATTTTGACAAAACAAAAAGCCCTAAGTAAGAAATACTGAAAGTGAACTACTCGTGTTTCTTGAAACTAAAGGGTATGCGATTAAAACTTGTACGAGTTACTGTTGTAAATCAACTCTCAATCTCGGCGAAATGAACTTCAGCGAAACTCTCTTATTAAATGACAAACTAAGCGTTTGATCACACCGCAGTTATAAATATTCAAAAAAGTGGAAAAATAAATATTTCAGGTGATCTCTCGCTTGTTTCGCTTCGAGCGCAGGCTTGGATGTTAGCAGTTGAGGCGACGAACTTTATGTAAACAGTACTATCTTATTGATCACGCTCAAAGAGTAGGTTCAACGGAGATATTTAGAAATTGTTTTGTTCTGTTCCTTGACGTGTCCACTTGTTTTATCGCATTAAGTGAATTACAATCTTTGCATAACAATGACCTAAACAGAATGTAAGTTTGAGACCGAAGATTAGAGCATTGTTGGTTTATATAGGCCGTGGATCTAGTGTCAAATATAACCCGCTCAATCTGGACTGATCTATGACCAACTTCAAGCGCTTCCTTCGAGATAAAATAATTTCTTTATGAAGTTGTTGTTTGTTCGCAACATACGCATGCAAGCAGCGTTGTGCATATATTAGGCAAAGCACTGAAAATTAGGACAGTGTTTTCGATTTCGCTTCAGCGATTTTAGCAAGCCTCAGCTCAAAGATTTTTTACGCTACAGCATAAAATTGGAAGTTTGTGGCGAGATTTGCTCTGTTACTTTATGTTAATCGAGGTATTGTACCGTTTGTCAGAAGAAAGTCATTATTTTCATTGTAAACTAGAAATTGTCCCTCATTAAACCGCATTTATCACAAGCCCGCGCTCTTTGTAGGAAACGGAAATTTGCTGCTATAAAGAATACAGAAAATTGAACTAGACCAAACTGAATAGGCGTTTTAAAGGCCTATTAAAGTATGGTCCTAATATACCGTCGAACACTAATATACTTTACGCGAACGGAAAAGAATACAAACTAACGAAAACATTCGAGCAAACTTGCACTGCACTCGCGATTATAAATTCATTGAGTAAAAGTGTTACGTACGCTGACAAGATTTGTCGTGAAGTCACTTTGATGATTAAGTCCCTAATTTTATCACTCTATCAGTTTCCCTAAAATTGAAAGGTGTGGCAGAAATAGATAGAAATTTAAAGCAATACCGGGACATAAGCCACTGGCCTGGACAAGTCCTGCTGTGGTTGCCAAACGCCCGATACACGCTGTCCGCTCAGGTCCGCCGTGGAGACTGTATATCCAGTAGATTTGCTCGGCGCTTCACTGCTCGATGCCGTTGGGCTGGGCGATCCAGCGGTGACCGAAGCGCCGCGTGTTTCGTCCACGCTAGAAATTCTCTGCTGCATTGGTGAAGGAAGAGCAGATTGGAAAGCTTGACTGCTGTAAAGCGCTCGGTTGTGACTCATGACATCCGCGGCGCGGAACGAATGTGTGGAGTCCAAGGAACCAGCGAAAAGCTGACGCGATGGTTGTGTAACTGAGTGATGACTGTTAACTGCGGTCACATTCGGATAGATGACAGGATACCCTGGTGAAACGGAGTGGTGAAATGCTGCTGCTGCTCCGTTTATTTTGGAATACATTGGGTCGGCGGACAAAGCCGTTGAATGAGCTATTGTTTGAGGCAATTGATTCGTTGAGAATTTATCAACCGCCATCATCGGGGCGCTGTAAGGTGAAAACATCGGAGCCGATAGGTCTTTCTTCTGCAGTGATTTGGGTTTGCGTCGCTTCGGTTTGTACTTATAGTCCGGGTGTTCCTGGATGTGGATTGCCTGCAGTCGTTTCGCTTCGGCCACGAACGGCTCTTTCTCATCTTGCGAGAGCATTTTCCACTCTGCTCCGAGCCGTTTGCTAATTTCTGAGTTGTGCATTCGCGGATTTATCGCCGCGTACTGCTTTCTCTTTCCACGACTCCACACCATAAAAGCGTTCATGGGTCTCTTAATATGTCCTTCTTCTTGCTTGCCCATGCTTGCGGTGTCACTTGCTAATCGGAGTGATGAAAGATATCTGAAGAGTTGAAGTGAGTTGATCTTCACGCGACGTCGAGTTCAGTCAAACTGCTTTCAAAGGAGCAACCTCGGCCAGTTATTCACTTGGTCGGCCGGCTCAACTGCTACGGTACTGCTCCAGGCGTGATTATGGCTGATGGCTATAATGATATAATAGGACAATGCTAATATTTCATTTCAATAATAATACGAGAAGTAAACAATAGGTGTTAATTATTTGCGTTTGAATTATGCATATTTCCGCTCTCGGCCAATCAACGCGCAGGAAAATTCGGCGGTAAGCCCTTGCGCTGTGCTCTTTCAAGCACGTGCTTTGAGGCAAAATCTTTCGGTTGGCATCCGAGAGTCGCTATTTACAGGCGGACAAGAGCTTTCGCAAAGTGCGAAATACTTATCGCGGGATTAAATCGCGATGAGCGCTGAGTTATTGCAAGTTTCGTTGTGTTTGTTCTCTCATTCAAACTTTCCTCTAATGATAGCACTCGACACCTGCGCGAGCCACGCAGGTGCGCCTTTCAAAGTATTTCAATATAATAATGTTTTCCGCTCAATACCTTCACCCCATCTGCGGCATTCGCTATTGTTCGATTTGCACGTGTTTCATTAGAGGCTTACCTTGCCTTTCTCTGCGTCATTGTCGCTTTTTTTTAAAGAGATTTACAAACTTTTCAGCTTTTCTCTATTTAATGGACCCCTAGAATCAATTTGCATAATGAAAGACGCATTGTGCTATCCGTTTCGCGAATAATCGCCACGAACTTCGGATCTTCGAGGTCAATTGGTTTTCTTTCAACGGCACAATAAATATAAAGAGAAAAGAGCTTTTCTAACAGTGGTTTAGTGGTCTTGGTCTTTTGTAATCAGGGATCAAAAAACTAAGAGGGCAAAACATTGGTAAATTTTTCGTCGTTTATTTTTTCGTGTTCGATGTGGGTCGGAAGCTAGCGCACTTTCCTCCTTGATTGCATTAACTCCGAAAAAACACTGATAAATTAGATTCTATCTGATGATAGACCGTAGTATTTGCAGAGTCATTAAGAACTTTGGTTACAGTCGATTTGCACCGCTAGATAAATATTTCTGAATTGAGAATTGGCAAATTTTATTGTGGTCATTGTGATCGCTATTGTCTGGACCGAAATTTTAAACATATACTTTTCTTTAAGCGTGTCCGCGTCGCAAATAACAGAGAAGTGTTTTTGAATTTCTGTTTATTTTTGCCCAGCGAGACTCCTGCAAACTAAGCGCTGTTCTTCTTTATTTGGGCATTTCCATGGGATTCAAGCATTTTTTGATCACCTTGAAAATTCTGGTGTGAAAACTGTGGGTGTTAGGTTGATTAATAACGGTTCTACTTCCAGTGGACACAAAGTTTATTTGCAAAGAAACGCCACTCGCGTTTGTTTGAATTCGAGCAAATTTCCTTTCTGTTTACATTTCTAATAAGCAGACAAAACCCGGCTTTAATTATGTTATTTACTGCGGACTGTAGTCCAATTGTTACAGCCACAAAAATATAAGGAAAAGGATTTAGCTGTAAACCATTTCTAATTGGGAAAAGTTGAAAATTTCTTCCTCCCCCACTGTTAATTTACCACGAGATAGCGAGAAGTTAGAAGATGAATATTTTACAAAAGGAAGAAAGGCTTACCAAGAGATCGGCTTTTGTTTTCTTTCCTACCCTTTGTTTTAGATGAGTATCGACAACTTCAATTGTCGATTGAACTAGCAGGAAAAGACTTTTCCCACCCGTGATATTTCTTCATAATTAGAAAGCTTGCGATAGGGGTTAAACCCAGCGTTCCCTAAAAACGTATAACTTCCAATTAAAAAACGTTGCAATAGCTCGAGGCTAACCATACAAATTTAAACTCACTGGTTTTCGAATAAGCTGCTCCACCGAAAAATAATATATATTACTCTTTATTTATTTTCAGTAATCCTTGAAATATTGTGATACTTTTTTTGCGGATTGTGTAAATAAACTTTGTCCAATGAATTAACAAAAGTCCCTGGATTGAGATCGGTATAAGGCGATCACTTGACAGAAAATAAACATACTACTGAAACTTTGCTTGCGGCGCAGAGAAGTAGGTTACATCCCACCTGTCGTGTATTCGAGAAAAGCAATTTAAATTTTAAAATGAATTTTTAAGTCCTAGATCCTGGGCGAGATTATAAGGACATGCAGACAAATTGAGGAATATTTTCCCTTTTTCTGATAAGGAACGCTCGCGCACTTTATGTTTTCTTTTCTTTGAGTGTTGAACAAAATTGTTTTAAAAATTGTGTTATCACCTAAAAAGAATACTAAAGCATTATTCTTTTTACTTGGCTATGCTCTAAAAACCCGAATAAAGCAATCTTTATTGCCAACGCGATAACTGGAATAGAAAAGAATCGTCCGATAACATTTAGCAGTGAATTTACACTTTCTTGTTTGCAAATACAAAATATTTTAGAATTACAACGATCTAGAGCAATCTTTAAAAATTATCACCTTAATCGCATAGCGGGATACCAGTTATCGCTAGTATTCTGCCGTCCCGTAGCGGCGAAATTCATTCCATCTCTGGCGACCTCCAGTTTTCATAACAACGGACAATGGAAAAGCCGTTCAAATGACTATTGAAAAAAAGGCAGCAGTGAATGTTTACCCCGCACAGAATAGATGTAGAATGAAGCGATTTGTTCGCTAATACGACCTATAGTTTCGTCAATTTGCATCTGTGGCAAGTAAAATTCGCCGTCAGTACAAAGGACATGCTAATAAGCATCGAGAATACAGTAGTTATGAATCGTGGTTTTGACATTAAATTGGTATATTCGTTTGGATTGAAAAGGCTAACATAATAATTCGCGTGGAATAGTTTCGGTAAACAGACTAAACGGCGGAGGCATTGAAATGGCTGTCTCGAAACACTCGAAGGAAGGAAGTGAATAATATTGCTTTATAAAACCACAAGTGACAAGAAAGAGTGGAAAATGATTATTTTCAAGTAAGTTAGAGTATGGCTTAAAACGTTAGAAATTGCGGAAAGAATGACATTTAGGAACTTTTTTATTTTAGAATTTTAACGTTCTCCTTTTCGTCCTGCAAAATGTTGAAACGTTAGGCATTCTGGACAACACCTGTTTCGGGAAAAAGGAGTAGAATGAAAGTTTGTTGGTCATTAAGACAAGAAATCACTCTGGTTTTCCATTCGTGACTGGCCTTATCTACAACCAATTACTTTCTCTCTCTTGAAAAGCGGAATGTGCTATCAGTATGACCTTGACAAAACCGTTAATAGAAAATCGAAAAATGTGTCGACAGGCATAAATTTAACCAGAAAAGTAATGAAATAAAGTGCAATTTAACAACGAATTAGTAAGATCGTGGTGATGTGAAAAACGATAAGAAATACCTAGTATTGCTGCCTAGGCGGATAAGTATACATCATTCTTCAGTTTACTTCTTAATGTCAAAAATTTAACGAATCTAGTTGGCGGTTGATTCAGTCTTGTCGGTAAAACGAAATGATAGGCAAACTCGGTATTTTTACATGATCGCATAAAGGCAGAAGTATTGTGGCCATTAAAATTTGCGTTAGATTACGCATAACACGGAAACTTTTACGGGAACAGCATAAAGTATCTTTTTCATGTTCATAAATAAAACATCTTTTTAACCACCTCATGTTTTCGTTTTCACAGCAAGGGCTGTTTGTGTGTTAAACGAAATGAAAAAGTTTCACACTGAGTAATAGTTCACTTGAAACTGATATATAAGATTTTTCTGTGGAAAATATTTTATACGATGGCATTAAATGGTGATTTTTTCATTAGCTCTTACCGATTATGTTCTACTAGTTTATCCGTGCTAAGACAAGTTGAGTAGTGTAATTTTTACCTTTCCTTCAGCGACTAATTTTCTTGGACGTTTTTCGTTTAATGTAGCGGTGCTGTTTGGAATCTTGCGTTCGACGCGTTATTAAAGTGATTAACTTCTCAGTCGCTAAATCGCCTCGAGCTAAAAAAGGTTTTTTTTTTTCGCGGAATTATTCTCACGAAACCGGGTTCAGATGACTTCCTTATGACTTGAGAGCTGAACACTTAAAAAAAAAAGAGGGAAAAGGAAGAAAATTATTTTGAATTGTTCCATCTTCAGAATTTGCTGGTAATTGTTTTCCTATGTTTATTTTCTCCGCCTTCTCTTTAGCAAGTTGTGTTAAATGTTTGTTTTTTCAATTTCTGCTTCTGCTATGTCTATTTGTGACCTTTCTATGGTATTTTGCGTTTTTCCTGCTTGTCAAACTCTTGGAGAATTTAATCGATTTGTTGATTTTCTTACACACAGAGCAGACAATGTACAAATTATTGATAGTTGTTTTCGATATTTTTTGTCTTTTAAGTGGCATAGGGAAAAGTACAGCTTGGTCAAAATGATTTTACGCCGTGTTCCAATGATTTAGTCAATTTATTGTTAATTATAGCCTCCAAGCATTTGTATATTTTTGGTATTTTCCCAGAGGCCATAGTGTATGATCGCGTATCAATCCCTTGGACGTATTATTTCAAGATTTCTTTGTGTAAAGAAAAATACCGGCCACTTCTCTCTTGCTAAATTTGCTTTCGGCAAAATCATTAGTAATGAAAAATACTACTGTAACATATATTCTTCATTTTCCATCAGTCGGCGGAGTATCAAAAAATTGCTTTAAAAGTCACCTTTAAACATTTTACTGTTCGGAACTGAAAAAGGCTAATGGGCAGCTTACTTAAAAACAATTACAGTCGACTCCCGATAATTCAAACCTTCAAGGGAGATAGAAAAAAGTTCGAGTTATCGAGGGTAAAATTATGTAGAAAATGATCTGAATGGAAATGAAAATTGCTTCGAGTTAGCGGGAGGTTCGAGTTATAGAGGGTTCGAGTTACTCGGAGTTGACTGTATGCTTCTTGGAAATTGTTTGTATTCGCTTCGATCTGAAGGAAAGACTAAGCGTAGAATACACGGAACGTTTTTCCAAGGCCATTTTGAATTGTTCGGAATTTTTAAAAAAATGTTTTGTTTTGTGACGCCCTTTAGACTGCGCAGTTTGAGTAAAGTTAGACCAAACCTAAAGCAAGCGCTTACACCAATGCGTTATTTAGATAAAAACAACCTCGTAAGTGGTTACAAACTTGAAAGGAAAAAATTGACTCCTATTGATAGAAAAAGAAAAAACAAACTACTTTAGCAAATGCTGTACACATTAACGAGTAATTAAAGATAAGACTTTCAGACTAATAATTTGCTTTTTAATTCTGTGTCTACAGCTCATTTTAAGAGCAAAACCATTTCAATGTTTTGCTGATAATTCCGAATTATAGGAAGTGAGAAAAAAAAGGGGCAAAGTTCAGAAAAAGAAAGAATATCCTTATTATTTTGCTCAATAACTTTGCGGGAAAGCCGTGTTGTTGTCTAAAGAAAAGAAAGAAAAGTTTTGAGAAGAAAAGATGATTAACATTTCTATTTTTAATGCAAAAACAGACTACTTTTTGAGTCCTAAGCAAACTTACGAATAAATATTCGCAATTCCGAAAGATGAAATTTTCGTCGCGTTATGAGTACAGATGTGCATGATTTTCTCGGTAAATATTAATGTGGCTCTTTCGATAATTAAAAAAAAACTTAGCAATTTTCATGGTAGCGACGTCTTTCAATGATTTCCGAACTGGGCCGTTGGTTAGATTCGTTGCATAACTTATCGATATTAAGTATGACCTGCGGCAGGTTTTGATATGAATGTAACCATTAGCTCTGTTATGTTATAATAAGAGGTACTCTACTCAGTAAATTTTTAAGTGGTTGCGACAGCTATTAACTGCTCATAAATGCTTTGTTCAATAACGGGTGAAAAGAGATACGGCAAAGCTTAGTATTTTGCTCTCTTTTTTCGCTTCAAAGGGTAGTGAAAAGTGAAATAAGAACATATTTTTGAGAAGCCTCCTCGTGTTCTGGCGACGGATTATGTTATGATGCGTGAGCGTTGAGTGATAAAATTTTAAAAAGAAACAGAAAAACCAAAATTCTACTTTTTTTCTCTTCCGTTCTAGTGGATCAATTTACGTCCAGATTTAAGGGGGGCTCGAAAGATCTTAAGTTGTGTGGGAAAATATCCAAATGTGAATTCTTTATTTATTTTAAGTCGATTCCTTTCAGTCCCGAAGGTGCTCCAAGATAGTTAAGTTTTATGAAAAACTGCTAAAATGCAAATTATGAAATACCACAAAATCGCCGAATTGTATCATGCAGGAAAGGGCGTTAAATATTTAGCTGCATATTTTATGTGATATCGGCCATGCATATGAAACTTCCCTTTCTGCACTCTCCCCCACCCTCCCACCTCCCCTCCCCCCCCCCAAAAAAAAGAGCTCAACCAATATTAAAATTAGTTTCTATAGACCGTCTCCTCTTTTTCCAAATAAAACTAGGGCCATTTACTTTTGTTATGATAACGTAGCGAAACGTAAAAAAAATTGAAGTGGTTTTTGATACCGTAGAGGAAATTGCAGCCACCCGTAAAATCCTCACAAGAAAACTTTACTGCGTAGAGGAAAATTCAAACAAAAACGTTTCCTTGAAAATAATTTTGCTAGAAAGACCGAAAAAACTCATTTGTTTGATTCTTTGTTTTGATTATCTCCGGTAGATCATCGCCTTCTTGCAAGAAAATACGCCTTTTGAAATTGATGAAAAAATATGGAAATGCAAACACCTCTTTTGTTTCCTGGCTTTTTTCTGGTATTCCGCAGGTAAATAAGCACAGACATTTCCCATCAAAGTTTCCGTTATTTTGCCACGTTAAATTACGCATGTTCAGTTGCAAATTTGCTTTTTCTTTGTATCAGTGAGTGGAAACGAAGCTTTTTCCTCGATGAAAAGTCTCAATTTTTCGTCCAGCTTCTTCCGAAATTCGGCACATACTAGATTGCCCACAAGTAGTTAAGTATGGTCCATTTTGATATGGATTTTTCTTTTTTTTGAAGTGGCTATATGTGAATGCATTAATTGATAGCGTGAATTAAATTGACGCAAATTTGCCTTTTTTGAGGTATACGTTTTAGAGAAATCTTCATTTCTCTGAGCTAGATATAAAGTTAATAAAGAATAAAAGTGTTTGCCACGAAATCAAAATGTTTGGCTCATTAGCCCGGGATAATTGTTCCCTCGCCTTTCTTCGCAGAAAGTAAAAAATGTCCTTTTCATACGAGAAAAACGAAGCAAATTTGACTTACAAAGAACATATTCATATTACTGGCTTAAACATCCAACTCTATTTGAGCATAATTTCCAGTAGAAATTACAGGCAACAAAGAATACTGCATTTACAATTAGCAATACATGTGATCGTACGTGTTCCGAGGGATAGCTATAGTGTAGTGTAAACCAGTGTTGTGGTGGGTATAAGAATTTGAATTCCCCAGAAATATGCTGCCCTTTTTTTCTTTAGGATATGACATAGTTTTTGTTAATTTTCCGATTAGGATCATTTCGGTTTGTTCTCGTATATACCGTATCCTTTTAACGTGTTAAAAAACATTCGGCTTAAATATAAAGCAAAAGCAGTTCAAGAATAAGGAGGCGATAATTATGAGAAAGAAATATGTTTTCTTAAACAATTATTTGCTCAGATGTCTGAACATAGGAAAAAATATTCTTAAGCAAGAAACCAGAAGTCCATATCTTAGGATAATCCTTTTCAAATGCTGTAAAAACGCAATCTTTTTAATGAGCAACGAGTATATTTTAGATTAGAGAGAAAATTATTGATCTTTTGTAACGGGATAATCTATAACTTTCCAAGTATTTTACAATCTTGAATGAAAAGTGTATGTGGTAAATATCTCTAATCAGTAAATGTACACTTTTCATTTTATCCCCTCTGGGAAAGTTCCCTCCTTTAAATGTTATGTCATCATGTGCTGATACTCTGTCAATTCAGCTGTAAATTATTAAGAAGTAAACGAAGGGAATACGTATTTTTAAAGTGTCTTTTTTCCCCAAGGCTGTTGGTATTATAAAAAAAAAACGCTAATTGATGACCGACGAGAAGAAATAATGTCACTGAGATCGAACTAGGTTTCTGACATCAATCGTTGTGAAATGTCTAGTAAATTACATGGAGGAAAAGTAGATCATGAATGAGTCTTTTCAAACTGAGCCCAGAATAAAATCAATGTGAATATATTGGACTCTTTTTGGGTTTTCTGTCTGTGAACACCAACAAGAAGAAATAATGTTATCATACTATGTTGCTAACATCTATCATTATGACATTGCAAAAATCTTACATGAAGGAAAAAAAAAAGATCATGAAAGATGGGTCCTAGGACTGAATGTGAATATATTTGATTCAGCGTTCTTTTTTTATTCATATTCAAATTTTTCGACTTTTCTTCTTGTGCGTGTGTGGACGTTTTCAGTGCTATTTCTTTTGGTAGCTACAGTTTTGGTATTTTGAAAAAGCTTGGAATGATCTTTCCATAAAATCCAAAGTATGTTCATTCAAAGAAACAGCTACTGACCAGTACTCTCGGCCCATTAAAGGCAATATTTTTAGTGCTGTACAAAGCTGTTTTAACTTTTGATTCTGTGAGTGAAATCTCTAAATGTTACCGGCATTGATGTGAATCATGTCACCTAAATAGTCGATGGTGAATTCTTTCCTCTATTTCTCCCGAGAAAATAAATGTCATGTTCACGATTCACGAAATTCTTCACTTACTTTAATTTTTATTTATTTATTTATTTATTTGTTTTACACTTCCCTGCCTGCAAATGCAATACTGGTCAACGTGCAAAAATTCTACTTTACTGCCCGCCATTTTAGGCTATGTTCGCATTATACCGGATTGCTATTGCGCATGCACGAAAACCATACCGGATATGGCTTCTGTTCACACAAAAGAACGGTGATTTCGGCGCGATTTCTGTAACGAAGCGAAGCTGCGCCGCGTCGATCTTTAAAGTGGAGAGTCGCATATCGAATAGATGTTGATACTATACCTAGTAGCTTTTCGCGTCCGTACGAAAAACTATCTAGTATAGTGTAAACACAGCAATAGAGATTGTTTTCTTGTTTTTGCTTTTCTTTTCTTTTCTTATTATTTTTTTTGTGGTAACCAAGACAACATGCCTTTTTTTTTCAAAGAGCGTAATTGCCTCATTACTTTGATTAATTATCACTCCATTTCAAGCGGCATGATCCACAAGAGTCAAAACAGCCTTAAATTATATAAATTATTGGCGAGTAAACAAGCCGATTGGGTCTAAGATCAAGAATTTGAATGTAATTGTCGTAATAATAGACGGCTGTCACTCAAACGCCCATCTGGCGTGAATGCCTGTTTCAATGGTCGCGTGTTGTTGAAGCACGTGGCGTGTTAAGTCGCCATCAAAACAATCTTTGCGTGCTTAATTCCTGAGTAACTTCATATTAAGCAATATTTCTTAAACGCTTGTGTTGTTGATAAAGTTCTTATTGTTGTAAAGAGGTTTTCTTTTTATATTACTTCTGAGTTTGGTGTGGAAACCGGATTAAAAGTATCACTTTATTATGATGTACAAAATTAATCTAGCGTTTGACTGTTTTAGTGAATTGAATCCCTATACATGAATGTTTCAATAGAAACTACTAGTTTTAATTTTAGCGATAATATGTTATTTGAGGTTTTGAGCATGGCAAACTTTGAGTGATACATATACGCACCTTAACCTTAAAGAGCCTTTATGTGTCAAAAAATAGCGAGATCTCAGGTTGAAAATGTGCTGAACTAGGTAACAGTTTTGTACAAAAAGGAAAAATTCCCTCGTGGTGTCGAATTTCATCATCATTTTGCGCGCATTATTCCGGTGATATATAAAAACATCGTTTTGTTTCCTCAATAAATAAAGACGTAAGATGGCGTGTAATGTTAACCATCACACATTAACAACAGCAAACAGAAAACAATAACCGCGGTAATAATTTAAGTTTGATATTTCACTCTGCTGGTGTATTGTTATTACGTTATGAAAGGTTGCGGAACATACGGTAAAACAACGCAAAACGACGTTTATTTACAGGCACTTACAGCTCCCCTGCGAGCAGAGGCTACATTTCCAGCGCGATGTGAACTGGGGTACCAAAAGCAGGTTGTTTCGCACGCCAGCTCACGCCTCCGCTCGTAGGCGGGTATCTCCATGCATACTCCTTTCGTCCGCTTTTGTTCTTGTTCGTTATTTTCTTGACAATCTCTTTACTTGTGCTTTACTTCTTAACTGGGAAAATGAGTGTATCGGATAAGCTATTCATTAGCCCGCATTGCAAGCATTTGAAGGCTTGGGAAAGGAGAAATTCAGTTCGAGCGAAAAGCGATGGGCGTGCGCGTTTTTGCGCGGTTTAATTTCGTCTTTCCTTTCCTTAAATCCTACCGCGAAGGGTAGGCTGTTCAAAAAGTTTGATGTTTATGTTCATGGACTCCTGTTATGTTTTAATAGCAGCGACCATGGACCTTTTGCTGAGTAATAATCATATATGAGTTCGATTGTTTTTAGGTTACAATGTTGCCAACTGAACTGAAAGAAAAGACAGTAAAGCCTTTAAATCGTTCGCTTTTGAGTGGTGAGAAGAATGTATAAAGTCTCAGTATGGTGGGGCTTTAGTTAGCCTAATCTATTTTATTTATTCAATAGTTTTCTATAATAGGCTTGTTAAAGTTTCGATCTCTGCCACTGGAATGCTGGCCGTTGTGGAATTGTCACGGTTTATCAGTTTTACAAAGCCTCTCTTATTGGAAGCTAGCCCTTTGTCATCAGTTAAGATTTATTATTATTAAATATTGTTAAAATTACGAACAAAACAGCTTGAAAATTACCAAGATTATTGCTTAAAGCACCGTACTAGTGTATTTGCAGTAGGAAAAAGTTGAACGGAAAAATCAGATTATCATTTACTAGAGCACGCAAGAAAAAAAGTATGGACTCCTGTTAAAGGACGCCTTTTCGATTATTTGATAACTAAATTTTTATTTCATTTCTGTAATTTTAACATTTTGTGAATCAAAATAGCTGATTAATACCCTTAATCTCGTTTCAAAGCATAAATGAATAAGACAAGTAAGTCTTAAGCAAGCCATTCGTTTTGATTCTTAAACGAATTCCTTGTTGACCTCTGTCAGTCCGTAGCCCCGCGTGGCCTGCTGAATTCCGTTTTATTATTATTTTTTTTCACCTCGTAAAAAAACGTTTTGTATTTATTAACAATCTGTACGTAGCGGGAAGTTAAATACGCAGGAAGTTAAACGGCCTGTAAACAGCTGTCACAGATCACGATATCGCATTCGCCTTGTTTAAACAACATAAACCGCACAACGTGTTCCTCCTGCCCGGTTCTTTTGTTTCACGTTGTCGTGTCACTTAAACACTTAAATAGCTTAAGGGCCACCTTTAGTAGGAGGTATCTAATATCAAAAATTTAGCCTTTACTGTCTTTGCCGCATCCATCCATACTCGCGCAGTCCGTCATTAAACACGCGTCTTACTGCCGGTTTGACGGCGTGAGCTAGGGCGCAAACAGACTGCGTGCGTGATATTTCAAGCGACTTTCACTTGACACTGGATTTCTGAAATTCTTAACTTTTCCAATCCGAAGTAAGAACCAAGATTTAGTTGTTAGAAAACTCTAAATGTATAATTTTCAACTAAGGCAAATTAAAGGGCAGCAATCACTGATTTACCCTCCCCCTCCCTAGCCCATGGTAAAATAACAACCCTGCTGTATTACTATCTGAACACAAGGTCAATTTGTTATTAAGTTCATTGTCTGACGAACGACAGGGCAGAAAGTTACGAGTTCATTCTGTGGGGATTTCTAAAGAGATTAGCTTGTCTTTGTCTGGGTAGAACACTTCATTATCCATGAATGTGTGAAAGCCGTGTTTGTATTGTAGTTAACAAAGACTCGCGAAGACATCATTTATAATATGATCTGTCACAGAAGAGTGGAAGATCGTGTTGGTTTTCTATAGAAAGCTTTGGTTACGGAACTCTTTTAAATGAACTCTTTTGTACAGGTATGAACGAGCCTTTGTTTTTCAGTTTGTTTATGAGTCACGTAAAGAAAACTATCGCCTTTTTATAAAAAGAACAAAGGAACATGTGTGAGGCGCGAAACACGGAAAGGAGAAAAGCGGAAAGATGACCACATTTTTATCAAAACAATTTCACGAGGAGCGCTTGGTTGAAAACCTCAAACCTCTTGTGATTTACATACTAAGTGTTAATAATTCTACCATCAAATCAGTTGACGTGATAACTAATATTACGTTGTAAAAATGAAATCATTAAGGCAAAAAGCATCTATCACTGTAAACTTTTGCAATGAAAACTGTAAGGGCGAGTTTTTTGAACGGAGTTTAGACCGTGTTTAACAAAACCGCGTTCTAAGCCATTTTCAGTTTGCTAGGAGTTCAATAAAGCATATAGCGTAGACTGGGGAAGCACTTATTTCCTGAAGTCAAACCTCTAAGAAAGAGATTGGAGGTCCAATGATTTCTTACTAAAAAAACCACTGCGTAAGATACAGGCTTCGTTTAAATAACCAACCCTAACTCTCTACCCAGGCGGTCAGTAGCTTTAAGCCTGAAGTAAGCTGCAGAGGGTAATCAACGCGAATAAAGTTTTCAACTCGTAAAGCGTCAGTTGACGCCTGTGTGTACCATCAAAGTTCTCGTGAAGCGTTTTGCTCGAGTCATGTCCGTAAAAGGGCTTGGTTATTTTCGTTTCAGAGTGCGATCTCGGAGATGCATGGTTTTAATATCCCCAAGCCTGATCATTCAAATGAAATCCAGTGGCCAATGTCTTCTGTAATCAGACTGTTCATGTTGTATATTAAAGGTGTTTCTAGAGTGGATAAACGTCCGCAGTACCGCTTTTTTCTATGTACTTCTTATAGACGTGAATGATGGTCATTAAAAGTTAATGTACGGTTGTTTGAAGCCTGGTTTTCACTAGCTAGCTACGGATGTTCAACGCAACCTGAAGCAAAAGTCAGCCGTTCATGTTTTATCACCGAAATATAAACGAACACCATCGGAAGCGCATGCAATCTTTGCGGAACATTAGAGCAAGAGCATAATATTGATGTTTGCATGCAGGCCGTTTACACAAGAACTCTTATCCTTGCGCTTGTATCGCAAGTGAAAACCATGTGACACCCGCCCGTCTGCCTTCACGGCCTGCGTGGCAGAAAATCAAGTGCTTGATTTCCCCTATCAGCCTTCCAAAGCGGAAGGTTCAATCTTTATTGCCTTAACTTAACATTGCCGCCACGCATTTTTGCTATTGCTGGGAAAGCTAAACCAAAAGACGGCTGCTAGCACGTGTTTTCTTTCCCGCGCTACCCGCTATATACAATGAAGCATTTGCCTGGAGTTCTGATTGGTTCATCCGATTGACTGCGCCGTTTCATTCAGTTTTCACTTGCTGGCTTGATTCTTGTTGAATTGAATGAGAATGGTTTTGCCTTTTTACAATGATAACCTGTCTCTTCAGGCGTTTGTTCGAGTTTTTGGTCTCTCGCTTTCTCTTTGCGCTTGTCTTTCAAGGGGAAAAAAATATCGCTTGTTTTGCACTCTCCAGTGAGGAAAAAAGGTTCCATGTTACGCATTTACGTCTTTCTGCCCCTTATCGTGAAGTTACGCAACAGGACGGGAGAGTATAGAAGACGGTAAACCTTGTGTGACAAGCGTGACAATAAAGGTTCCAAATACTTTATCGCCAAACTTCACCTTCCTTTAAGCAGATCGTTTTGTAAAACATTCATGTTAAGTGAAAAATCACGACAGAACACGCAAGTGATAGCCGTGTCACGTTTGTCACCCACAAACGTTTTGCCATCCTCTTCTTTCAGCCGTCCTGTTGCGTAAACTCACTAATAAGTTCATATGTCGAACGCATTTGTTTTTAGTGAATACCGTTTTTACTCGAAGGAGTGTCTGCCCCAAATAAGCGCCTCACTCAGAGTAAACGAGCGCCACTTCCTCCTACACTACACTACGCATTACGGTAATGCAGCGCTAATAATGTTTATTGTTATTTTGACAATTGTTCATGTGAATGGTATGACTAACTGGAATAGGATCAGACCTTTAAAACTTACTTTCACCACTTTCTTACCTGTTGTTATCGCTCTTTTGCTAAACAACGTAAAAGGAAGGAAGATTTCTTGACGAAGAACTGTGTTATTCACAAACAAACCGTTTTGAATCAGCACCACACCCACAAGTCGAACAATACGCGCTGCGGCTCTTATTCGAGTAAATAGGATTGTTAGTTTTCTGCTTTGTTCATGCATCAGGGTTCATCGAGCAGGCTACAATAAGGTAGTGTTTTAAGCCCAAAGAAAATTAAGAGTTCAGGCCTGCGTTATGACAAAGCACTTATTAACCGGGTGTCAAAAGGGATATAGGACGCTCTAGTGAATGTGAAGGGTTGTTCAGCGCGTACAGGAACCGGCTTCTATTGAAGTTTTTTCATGAGCGAGACATTACGCCAAAGGCTCTTATAAACACAAAAGAGTGCCCTGTTTGATCACGTATAATGGTAATTAATTTATTCTTGACAGACCTCATGTCGTTATGAACACTTATCCACTCGAGTTTCTAGGTACTTATGTAAAACCAACTTTAGCGGAATCTTCTCGAACTCTGTTTCAAACTTTTACGTTAGTCGACCGCAGTTGCGTCATCGGCTTCGTATATTAAAAAAATAACTTGTTTCTGCTTTCGAGGCTAAATGAAATTTCAAGTTCATGAAAAAGTAATAATAATACGCTGATGGTTATGCTTCACGAATTCACAGTTTTAGCTATAGTGTTAGGATGGATCATCGATTCCAAAAACCAGTTACTGATCTGAGACACTGAGCTGTACTCCTTGAAAAGGATAACTTTGTTTTTGTTTCTTTCATTCTTCGGAGGTACTGCATTATCCGGGAAGAACATTTAAAGAAAGTCTCTGTGCGGTGCTTTTGTATGTGTGGTTATTATGCTGTGCAAGGTAGACACAACTTCAGTCTTGTAGACGGAGTTCTAACGTGTCATTGGGCCTGAAATAAAAGCTATACCGATCAGGGGCTGCACTTTCGCGCGGTGAATGCGTTTAATATGCTTACAAAGCGGTTATAACTTTTCATTCTGTGCCTATTATCGTAAAGTGTGACCATTCATTGAAATAAAAGCCATTGAGCAGTACTTTATGGTGGCGATACTTATTATGCCGACACAAAGGAGATCTAATTATTGACTTCAAACATGGCAGTCCTTAAGTGTGACAATCCTGGAATAAGCTTTACCAGTTTGTAGTACTTTCCTGTGGTTCAGTTTTAGTTTGTTGTATAAGTTGACTAAGATGCCATTATCTGTAGATTCTCGGGTCTTATAGTGCAATTAGAAAAATTAAATCTCTCGACTAAGTGTGACTATTCACATGAAATGTCTTCAACAGCGCCTTTCTACATGTGTAATGTTGTGAGTCTCCTTTACACAGCTCGTCTAACATCGAAGCGTGTCATCATCTTAGTGATCATCCAAGTTGCATAAAAGTTTTTTTTTTTTTTTGAGGGAGTAACTGTCTGACTGTCTCTTTTATCTCTGGCTTTAAAACTTCAGGAAACTTTGAACGTGACCTTGATAAAAGCGTTTCCGAGATCGCGTAGCTGCTGTTGTTATCTTTAGTTGCCGGATAGTTGAAATATCAATTGTTCTATTGTTGTAACACGTTTCTTTTAAGTAAAACCGAGTTACTTTTGAGAACTTTTGAACTGAGCTGCGCTCACAATATCACCCAGCTCAGTCGTGACATTCGCCTTCCTCGATTTCACTCTCTCAAACGCACCTCGGAGATATCAGAACAAAAATTCTATACGAAGGTGTTTCGACTTGAAAATAACTTATAGTCAGGGTAGTATTAAAGAGAATGTCTTACCTTTATCGAATGGATGGAACGTTCTTTGTTTCGAGGCTTTTTTACTTCAGTGACGCGTGATGATTTGTGAATGACTTTGTTTTGATGATATACAGCTCGTATTGTTTCGACCGTTTTGGTTTGTAACAATGCTTCGTTTTCAAAACCAGTGAGCCGCAAAACCAAAGGCGCCTATCCCAGTTCACCGGTACAATATAAAATTCTCATTTTAGCAACACTTGATTCGTCATTCGCGACTGCGCTGCTTTTTTTGTGTTTAACTTCCTCTGTTTCGTTTTTCGTTTTGTCTAGCTGTTCAAATAAACTCAACTTTCAGACAGTACTTTATTTTCGTACAGTTATGATTGATTAACTTCTGGTCTTGCGGACCCTATGCAATATAAAATCCTAATTTGAGATCGTTTCAATTAGTGCTAACTTAAGGGGAAAATTAAGGAACAGTTGGTCGTTGGACGTGTAGTTTTGATTTGCTTATAATAGAAGGCGTTACGAAAAAAAACCCTTTAATACCGAAACGGGCAAAACGGTCCAATGAATCATTGCAAACGAAAGTTTTATCGAATAGTAGTTTGATTCATCTAACTGCTGTTTGCTACAAAAAAATTGCACTTGTCCTGGACCAGTTCTTGGGACTTAAACAGAAGTTTAAAAAATGATTTTTGGTACGCCTCTGTGATTAATTAAGCAGTTTGGCGATACAAACTCTGAAATTGTCGCGTGTAAGAGAGCGTGTTTCAAGGATGAAAAATCAATATCGTGTGCTACGCCGCTTAACATGCGGATATACTTTGGTCACAAGTTGGATACTTCCTTTTTTAAAATAAAAATTATTATAATTAGTCCACAAAGGGTAAGAAAAACAAGTGGTAAAGAAATAACATTAATAATAAGAAAAAAAATCAACTTAAAGCGTTGAAAACGATAAAATTGTTTCACAAAAGCGATCTGGTATGTTTCCTCTTCCGCAGCCGAAAGAAACGTGAAACAATATCATGAAGGTCATTCAGGTACATTGATGTCACAGTGGTTCTTTTTTCGTGTATGTTTTGACCATAGTGGGGATCGAGAGAATTCCATGAGAGTAGAAATATTAGGAAGTACCGAAAATCCTCTATTAAGCCCCCCTTGGGGCTTATTTATTTCAAACACATTTGAGGGGGTGCTTAATAGAGACGGAGGGCTTATTTGAGAGAGGCCGGGGGCTTATTTAATTTACAAAGTGGAAAAGCTCAAGTACAAGAAGTTGAAGGCCATTGCAGCCGAGGATCAAAAAATAAACAAACCTCGAGTTGGTAAATATACCATCCCAGATCAGTCCACAAGAAGTTTCAATTATTAGTGAAGGGGAGGGGAGGGGAGGGGAGAGGGAGGCTTAAAAGAGAGGGGATCTTATAAATTCCTTCCCCTGAAAAGGGGGGCTTATTAGAGAGAGGGGGCGTATATGGGAGGGGGGGGGCTTAATAGAGGATTTACCGGGTAGTTAATTTAAAAGAGCACAACATTCGCCACGCAGTCTTGCCGAAAGTCAACGCCCATTTTTAGCAAGCCTTTTTTAATCTTTGTGTTTCAAGGATATTGTATGGTTAGATGGCTTGTTTACTTAGACGGATTTGAAACGCAATGTGTTCTGTCACGGTTAGTTCAATCAGGTATATGATTCCCCCTTTAATTGCCATGTACACACACTTAACGCATGCTCTTAATAATTATCCGCTTATGCTCTTAATAATTAAGCGAACAGCCATGGAAACTGCCCTCATGCCGCCGCCATAACTAGAAGACCCTGGGGTCGAGGTTGACTGCCGAGGAAATTAAGACGGAATCCACCAGGAAATTGAGTCATTTTTATTTTCAGTGGACAAAAACCTTGTACCAGAATAATTTAAAGAATATTGCATTCTTTCTTACATTTTCAAGGGCTAAATATGTAATAAGTCATCTGTAAAAACACCAAAGAAAATTTCTCATGGGAACCCGAGAAAATGAATGTCAAATTTCACAAAATTACATCTTACACGTGAACTTTTCAGAATTTTACCTGTGCTTTCACAATTCTTGTGAAATTTGACACTCATTTTCTTGAGAATTAAAATTACTCAACTTCCTGGTGGATTCCGTCTTAAATTTGAAGTAGGCGCAACGACCAAGGGAAGGCTCAACCTTCCCCGAAGTCTCTGCGCCTTCGAAAACTGTAAAAGACATGTAAAGGCAACACGGTGATACGAGTTGTTAGAAGGGGTTCAGTGAAACCTTTTTTTCCGCATATAGAGAGCCGCATATTAAAAGTTTGAGGTATGGAAGGGGAGAAAAGCAATAGACCTTTGTCACGCGGCGGCCATTTTGTCTCAGGAGATTTAAAAAGCTTTGTTTATGCACAGCTAGCCTCGTTCTCAGAAGAAAAATCCCTGAGACAAAATGGCCTCCGCGTGACAAAGGTCTAGGGTAAAGGCAAATACAAAATAAGATCGAACTAAGGAAGGTTTTGTGAGCCCGCGAGACTGAGCAGCCCCCACAAACCCTTGTTTTCAGTAAAACCGCTGGACACAAAACCTCCCCTAGGTCGATGTTACATTGTCACAACCGAGGGTAAAAAGCAAGGCGTCGCTATTTTTACCCCGGGGATACTCCCTGAAATTGCGTGGGTACCAGACTCGTTCCCGGTCGCTTATTTCTATTCGCGCTGTGACAAATGGGAAGGATTTAGTGAGTCCGCAATGCACTAAGGGAAGAAAGGAAGAAAAACGAGAAGTCATCTTTTCTTCTTTCTTCCTAAGCGCCTTTATGCGAGTTAATTTTCCTTTCCATAGTCCTTTGCGGGAATAAATTAATGGCAACTGGATACCAGTATGGGTACACCACCCTGGGTACCAGGCGTGATATTTCGGGACATGACCAAAAGGGGCAACAGCGCATGAAAAGGCTCTAGCACCCTCCCAGAGTACAATATCACTGGCGGCTAAAATTCTTTGTTATTATAATTCAATGAGTTGATAATGTTAACTGTTCCACCGTAAAAAGATTCAAAAGCTGGAGTTTCGAACGCCCTTCCTCTGAGCGAAGCAAAGGATTGTGGGTGGGATGGGGTTCATATATTGAATAGTAAACACGTTAAAATCAAGAAAGAATGAAACGGCGTTCAATGATTTTATGGGTATTTAAAGTTCAAATTGGAAAGGTGATTGTTTTTTATCAGAATTGATAAAACCAAATTGTGGTACCAAAAATTATCTTCCCTATCCCAGTCTAGATGTTAACCAGAAACTCTTACATATTTTTCATATCACTTCTCGCTTTCATATAAATGAAAACCGTTTTAGGCTATTCTAGATAAACATACCTGTTATCCTATCTCAGACTTAACCTTTTCTGGATCATTATACGCTTCGTGCCTACCTACTCCTCCCCTAAGCCAAAATTTTAAAGCGCTTACTCCTCACTTAGGGCAAAATCTTGGCTTAGGGGAGGGGTAGGTGGGCAGTTTCCCAGAAACCTCAATTGATCCCAACGTACCTCAATGTATCCCAGACTTAGCCTTTTCCAGGCGTTCAGATTGTAGGGAAGGCGCGAAGAGATATGACAAGGAAAAACAGTGAGGGGTGGGGTAGGGGGTGAGAGCGAAGGAACGCCTGTAGTACTTTTTAACAAAAGCTAGTTCCAGTATACCAGGTTCTGGTATAGCCTGATTGGTTTATTTTGACAGCTCCTGTCAACACTCGAAGGTCTATTACCTTGATCTGAAATGTGTTTCCTCCTTTCTCCCCCCGTGGAGATACGCCTAGGAATTATTGAAGGGGCGTGCCGCCTTCTTCAAATCCTGACCCTATTACAGACCAAAAATAGTCTCAGGTTTTTCACACCCATTTTCAGACCTGGCCTCTAAGAAATTACAGTGAAACTTCTATTAAGCGGACACTAGGCCGGGTCCCTAAATTAAAGTCTTATTTTTCCCTTTATAATGAACCCCTATTCAGCGGACACCTGTATTAGGCGGACGTGGACACTAAAATAAATTGTATTTGACTAATTTCTATTTTTAAAAACCTCTATTAAGCGGACACCAGACTGAATTGACAATAGTAGTATTGGATAACGTTCTTGAAATACATACTGTAGTCGGTTAATGTTTTTGCATTTACAAACAAATTAAAGTTAGTAATAAAAGGTAATGAACTTGAACGCTGGAAGTGCTAAGTAACCGTTGAATGTTAATCGTTAACAAATATTGTGCAATTTTTACAAGCCCCTATTGAGCGTACATCCTCTACTGATTAAGCGGATACTTAGGAAGGCTCCGAAGGTGTCCGCTTAATAGCGGTTTCACTGTATTTCATCATTATTTAGATTAGAACAGGAACAAAAAAGATTTCTTAAAATCCATTTCGAATTGGCATATTTCTCTTCCTTTCTTCTCATTTGGAATTGAAACAATGAAAACGTTCATACACTCTCGTAGTTCCCTCGAAAACCAAAACCCTTCCAGACCAAAATAGGGAAAGTCTATACCCGTTTTCAGACCAAAACGGCGCAAAAACCCTACCCTTTGGGGCGGCACATAACATACATGGCTTTTATAAGGGAGTACTCCCCCGGGGCTTTCTCCCTCTCTCTCATAGTCTTCCACCTTAATTTTTTCCGGCTCTCTGACTTCGCGCCGCGACCTACCATCTGAACTCCTCGGGAAGAGGCTCTTCTTGACTAAACCTTCCAACAGATCTCTTTGTTTTATGTCTCCTAAGCCAGGGGAAAGCGCCCTGGGGACGAGGATAGCTCTGATCTTTTAGACTTAAGCGTACGTACACAACCGAGTGTTGAGTAGTATTTTAATGATCTACCTGACTAAAAGAAACATTCCATTAAGGCGGCTCGACTGGATTTTTCAGGGGCAATACTCTTCCAAACTTTAGCATTAACTACCTCGTCATTAAATAAATTAAGATTTGGAAAATGGTCACCACAACTCTGCTCGATAAATCTAAGATACAAATTTACGGCTTCAAGAGAAAAAATTAACGACGATACTTCGTTGCTATGACAACTCTGATGACAATATAAAACTGTCCATAACAAATTT